CAGAATTGCCTATCTCCCAACATCTGGGAAATAATATTTGTGGGGAGCGGGAGACAGGTATGCAACCTGTGACACACACACAACAGGTGAGTTCATATAGTGGGTCATAGGCGTAGGAAACAAGAATTTTTAAAGGCTACCTCAAGGAGAATCAATATCCAATTCTCAGCTTGCACACCTCAAACTGTTTTTATTCCCCCCCCCCCCCCCCCCCCCCCCCTACAAATCAAATGTAGTATTTGGTATGGTCCGTTTCATTTCTGATCCGTGCCCCATCCAGACCTTAAGAAAAATAAGAAAAAGAAAACCACATGAGCGCGCACGCGGGAATGATAGAGAGAGACACGAGGGAAGGAGGGTGGAAGACAGAGAGAGAGAGAGGGAGACAGAGAAACCCCATTCTCACTAAGTACGCCCCCCCCATCAACACGATCAAGTGTAGTATCTGCTCCAATGAGTTTCACATCTGATCTGTGGTCCACTGAGACCCTGTATAAAAAAAACAAAGCAAGAGCGCACCCACAAAAAGCACGAGGGGGAGAGAGAGAGAGAGAGAGAGAGAGAGAGAGAGAGAGAGAGAGAGAGAGAGAGAGAGAGAGAGAGAGAGAGACCCCAATCAAGCCAACTACGTTCCCCCCCCCGAACAAGTGTAGTATCTGTTCCGATCAGCTGCACTTTATTTAATTTGACATAGAATTCCCGCTTCCTGGAAGCCGCCTAACGGCGGGAGCACCAAAAACCCAACCATTGATGCCAGTACTTCGTAATTTATTATGAACGTATTGAGACCTCCTGACAATTATCCGTGGTTCATTCAGGCCCCTTTTTTTTCGGAGAAGACAAAAGCATGTGCGTGTGCACGCTCACCCGCATGCGCGAGCGAGCGAGAGAGAGAGAGAGAGAGAGAGAGAGAGAGAGAGAGAGAGAGAGAGAGAGAGAGAGAGAGAGTCTAAAACAACAGTGCACAGGTGAGCCTGTGTCAACAACAATGCACAGGTGAGCCTGTGTCAACAACAATGCACAGGTGAGCCTAAAAAAACAAGCACGCTCGAATCTGAGCCTAAAAACCACCCCGACCTCGCCCAAACCCACCCCCCAACCAACAAATCCCCACCCATCATCATTTTAACACTATTTCGTTCGTTTTATTTCGAACGAAGCCGCAACCGGTAACCTTGTCACTACGCATACAACTATCACTGAGTTCCTGCCTGTGACAAGCGGACGATCGGGCCCCTTCGATTTTTTGCTGCACGATGGTCCTGTTCGTCTGCTGATCGTTTTTTCTTAGAAGTTGAACGCATGCCAGTGCTGGCACCATGCTTGGTACTGGGCCTGTGCACCAGAGCTGGTACCACACAGGATACTGGGCCCCCGTGCTAACGGTAGCACCGGTACTGTCGGACGTTGCCGGTCAGCGCCAAGCGGCCACACATAACAAACTTTTTCCGATTTTGGGAGGCGGTGCGAGAAAAAATGGGTGGCCCCACACCACACCTGCCCTCCAATCGACTTCCGACTTTTCATACCCTAGGCTACAGCGCTCGACTCTGACCGACTTCTACGCTGCTATGCTCGACTACGACTTCGCTCTACGTTGGACACACGCGCACGCTCACACACACACCAACAGATGTGGACGCACGTACACACACACACACAAAAGCATGCACCCACGCACGCACACACACACGCATGCTCCAGAGGATCCAATACCTTCGACGAGTGTTGGAGGATCATCTTGAGCACCTTCGACGAGTGTTGGAAGGCGAGGGGGCGGGTGAAGTGATACAAGGAGGGATGTTGCGAAATGGGGATGATGGATGGTTTCGGGGATGGGGTCGAGGGTTGGGGAGGGGGGGAAAGGGGGGAGGGGGGAATAGAGTTCATGCGGAGAGGGACAGGGAGTAGATGAAGTAGAGAAATGAGAGGAAGGAGATGAAGGCAAAGAAAGCCAAACAGGCGCATGAAGAAGTCTCCGCCGCCGCTCTGTGCACCTTTTCTGATTGTAGGGTTTAACTTTTCATTTTAATTATTTGCTGAAACTACTTGTTTCCAAAAAAAGAAAAAGGGGTTGTAGGGTTTAAAAACCACAACCCCATATATATATTTTTCAAGATTATTTTGGTTTGCAAAATAAGGTGCAATTTGTGGCCGTTATGTGGCCGCGGCCACCGTCTGAGTTTCACCCCGCGGCGGTGGCTGCGGGTGCTACGTAGGTACGGTGGTCATTTTGCTCTCTGACCTTTGAGAAGTCTTGTTCACCTGTACCTTATCATTCTGCAGCGATTTGTATTTGTGATTTTTTGCGGATATATTTCGAAGAGAAAATGATGGAATTAAGGTGAAATCTTGTGTTGTTGTGCGCTCCTGTCACTGCTCTTTCGACCCTGTCCGTTGATTGTTACAGGTTGATCGGGAGGAGCGGCCTGATGTGGACAAGGTATTGCACGACTGAACTTCAAGTCGCCCCCTCGTGAATGCACGATCCACGATCTATTAATTGAATTTAATTCTCTTCTCGCTTTGTGATATCATTCTTTTTGCTTCGTTGTTCTCTTCTGAAAGTGTGTCACTGTTTCGTGTGGCATTTCATTTGACTACTGTTTGCAATTTGAAATTGCATATGTCACATGCACTCGCAATGCAGGACTCGCCGGGCACATGCACTCGTAATGAATACCTCTTGGGCAACGCCGCAACAAAAAGCGGGACATAAATTGCCCCAACGACATAAATTTGCAATGCACAGTACACTATATGTGTACTGTGCATTGCAAATTTATGTCGTTGGGGCAATTTATGTCCCGCTTTTTGTTGGGGCGTTGCCCCAGAGGTATTCATTACGAGTGCATATNGTGTACTGTGCATTGCAAATTTATGTCGTTGGGGCAATTTATGTCCCGCTTTTTGTTGGGGCGTTGCCCCAGAGGTATTCATTACGAGTGCATATAGTGTACTGTGCATTGCAAATTTATGTCGTTGGGGCAATTTATGTCCCGCTTTTTGTTGGGGCGTTGCCCCAGAGGTATTCATTACGAGTGCATGTGCCCGGCGAGTCCTGCGAAACTTGCTGAATGTGCAGAGTTTGGCAATTTTCGGTCCGACATGGCAATTTCCAGTCCGTGTCGTTCCACAGCTCCTCTCCTTCTGCTTTTATCTTGTTATGCTACTGTGCATGGTGGCTTGTGATGCTACTGCGCATGCCGCCCGGTTGGGTGGATGAACAAGGAGAGTAAAATGGAAAATTGTATGTGCTGGATGACATGGAGGTTGTAGGGTTCTTCTCAAACAGTTGGGCAAACAGAGGTGAACGGGGGTGTTGATTATGAAGAAAGGAGGGGAAGGAATAGATGAAGAAGGCGAGGTTCCACATTCACACACACGGGCAGATACAGAGCGGGGAATCTGCACACTGATAGACATTCGCGTCTACACGAAGATGATCAGAGAACGTGGAATAAGATGATGATCAGACGACAGGACATACTAGACCGGAGGGAGAAGTGAGCGCGTTCAGGCTGTTCGAGGACGGTGTACTTGAAAAGTGAGAAGCTTGTTCTTGATTTGGCGTTGAGCAATGGTCACCTGACTGTGAATGAACGTTCAATATCTACATGGAGCCATTTTAAATACAAGCGGAGGTCAGCCACGGCTACAAAGGGGCATACGGAAGAGGAGGGGTAGGAAGAGGTGAGGAGGGGCCCTTGTACCGTTCATGGCGCTCAGGATTCAAACTCGTGGCCTGTTTATGTGTGTCTATGCCATGACACAGGAATGGGGAAAGGGTTAGAAAGAGGTGGGGGGGATACTTCACCAATCTTTGAACTCGTGAATTGTTTATCCACCGCTGCATGCCAATCCCCGAAGGAAAAAAGGAATACAAAAATTGCTCGATGCTACCGAGGCCAGGCTTCTTTTACAGTCAGGATTTGAACTCATGTTCTATCTATTGACAGCTACACTCCACTCGAGATTTGAGCTTACAGGCTCTCTTCTGAAAAAATTCACTGTTACAACAGACCGCCGTGGTGTTCAAATGGGAAGGGGTGTGAAAGGAGGTGAAGATGCCCTCTTGTACCTGCTCAGGATGCCGTGGTGTTCAAATAGGAAGGTGTGAAAGGAGGTTAAGATGCCCTCTTGTACCTGCTCGGGATTTGAACTACCTGCAGCCATGCCGTGGCAAAGAAGGAAGGATGAGATCATGGAAAAGGCAGGGAGGTTCTCTGAACTTGTTACCTCCCTATACACGAGAGAGAGAGAGAGAGAGAGAGAGAGAGAGAGAGAGAGAGAGAGAGAGAGAGAGAGAGCACCTGACCATGACAACACTGACATATGAAGATGACGAGGAAGATGAAAGATAAGGGGCATGAGCATGATATACGAGGACAAGGTAAGATGATAATGACATCAAGCACCGATGGAGTGGGTAAGGAAACACAAGCTGCTTCACGTGGGGAGGGTTAACGGGGGGAGGGGCGTCACATGTCGCAGCCACATGGCTGGATCGGTTATCCATTTTCATTCTTTTCGTTGTTTTTTTTGGGTGCGTGTGTGTGTGTGTGTGTGTGTGTGTGTGTGTGTGTGTGTGTGTGTGTGTGTGTG